CATTATTATGCCTATTACAAGCCTTAAATATGGATATAACAATAAATTTTGGATTTCTCTACTATCTAGTCACTGAGTTTTGGGGTTTGCTGTTTTTCTCTCACATTCATGGCCCTCTCACTTATTTGGTCATTCATGGTCAAGTTCATCTTCTGTGGTAGATTTCTTTTGCAAACTTCCTGGACCACAGGGACTTCGGAGATTATGGATATGTTCGTTTCTCCCGAGGTGGTCTTGGCATCTGTCATGGTTTCCCATACAGTGAAGACAGTGGTTTCTCAGCATTGTGGGGCAGAATCCTTCGAGAGAAACCTGTATATTTCCAGGCTGAGGTGCCCTCCTTGGCTGTTTCCACCTCTCCCACAGCCTGACTAGCACCAGAAGGGTCTATTTGTGTTTCCCAAAACATAAGAGGCTCTTTCCATTTCCAAGCTTATTAGATCTTCCTTTAAGAGACTGTAAAGCAAAAGCAGAAAGACATATGAGAGGCCAAATAACAACATTATAGGGTATAAAGGAATCCACTTGCTGTTGGGCAAGCAAAATTAGTCATGTCTCTTGGGTAACCTTTCTATATCTCATACCAGAGGCCTTTCCCAGTTCTTAGTAATAATAAAAGCTGACACTTACAGCATTTATTATGTGCCTGAAGCTGTCTAGGCACTTGGAATATATCATCCCATTTATTTCTTGTGGCAACTATTAACATCTCTCCCTTGCAGATGGGTTTACAAAAAGGTTAAATGATGATCTTGGATTATACATTTTATTCTGGGAAACTCAACATGAAAACAAAGACCTTGGATGTGGAGGCGTAGGCAATGCTGAGAGAAACTGCTCACAGTTTTCACTTATCCAGCTTTCAAGCGTTTATGTCCTTCAACAAGTCAAGTAACAGCTGCAAGGGAGCAAGAAGAGATGGTGGGTGGAAGGCATGCACCACCTGTTTGGGGATGGATGCGTGCCTCTCACTGCCTAGGCTGTCACTCTTTCCCAGCTGGTAGTTCTGACGATCTTGGCCGGCAAAGGTCTTTGCCCCAATCTTCACCAGGAGTAGGAGTCACCTCATGGTCGGTATGTGGCAGCCACAACCCCGCAGGCAGTGGCAGGGATCAACATTCATCGTGGCTTGGCGTGTAGCCCCATGTTCTGATTGGAGAGGCTGAGCACTCTGGGTACAGCTCATAATCTATTGGTTTGCAGTTGCATCAGCCCTATTCTGATTGGCTACATCCATTTACATAAGCCATTACATCATTATATATGCATTGTTGGCTAATTATTCCATTCCTTATCAATGCATTCCAGAACTTTTCTAAACATGTGTATGACTTTGGAGGATAGCAGGTGTTTGTCTCTTTCCAGTGAGGTAGTCATATGCTAATTCTTAACGGGGTACACGTGTATGATTTTAATAACTTTTGGGAAAAAAATTGCTTATCAGGAAAAGAATGTTTTTGATGGGAAAGCTTTTGCTCCTTTTTTTTTTTTAAGCACAGCAGATAGGTTTTTATTTATTCCTGTTAAAATGTAGGTTGTGGCATTCTTCAATCACACACTGTTAGTTAGTGACAAGTATAGGATTCATCTCCAAGAAGTCTAACTGCAGAATCCACATTCTTAACTACTATATTATACTGCCTCTCTGCCTGGAACTAACATTTCACATTGAACTGACTACTCCTAAGTGTACAGACCATAGCAGGAGAAAATGCAAGTTATCACAGGGCAGGCTACAGATGTCTCGCGAGTAGCATTCAGAGGACCCTGGTATGTAAGATACCTTATAAAGCAACGGAAAATTTCAATGGGAGGTTGCTAGGAAACTGATATATAGGGGATCTTTAAATTACTACACTTTTCCTATCTTATAATAAGTTGTTTTGCTTTTTCTTTGAATAAAACTTTCTCTGTTACAATGCGGTTAGTATGATTTCAGCTGTTGGAATTGTTGACCACTTGTGGCTTTACAAGAAAAGATTCACTTGGGTTTCTGGGTAGAACTTCAGCTAAGAGAATGTAACACTTCTATAGAGAAATCTGGGCTTTTGGAACCATGACATAAAAATAACTTATCTTACTCCAAGGCCGAGGTGAGGAAATGATACTGCCTCAGTCAAACTATAGCTCTGGCGTGTGCTCGTGGATTTGCAGAGGAGACATCACACAGGGCATGAAAGAGTAACTGGACTTAGTAGATGTGAACTACTACCAGTGAACTTGGACCTGGGCCAGATCGATGGGAAGTCTATGGATGGAGTAACACCCGAGCCTAATTGAAATATGGAACCTGTGTTAGTTTATGATTGTGTAAATTTCGGAGTGTCCATGTGACCTCCATGTTTGAAAAAAACAAACATTGGAAAATAGTCCAAAAGATGACTGTCCTTTGAGTTGGTGGCTTTGTCTTTTGTGTCAACAATACGGCCTAAGAGAGTGCTATATGCTCACATTTTTGTAGTACTTGGATGTGATTTTTGTGAAAACATTTTTGAAAATAAGATGCTATATAACTGAGCCTCGACAATAGTTCTTGGAGATAGGGTTTATAAATAATCCTGAATTAGCAGATGAGGAAACAATTAAACCCAATCTTTCTTTCCATAAGATTCCTGGTACATGCAAAATGGTGGATATCTATTCCCAGTCCCCATCTCTGTTATAAAGGAAGTTGTGAGGAGAAAGCTATCAACAGTGGCTGTGAGTTCTTGTTAACACTTTACGGGTGCCACATAAGAGAATGGAACTAACGTTCAAGGAGTGCTTACAAAACAGCTAGGTCCTTCGATCCTCATGACAATGCTACAGTAAAACTAAAATTTTAGGCTTAGAGAGCTGAAGCATGTCTATCAAGATCAGCCAACTAGTAGTTGTCAGAGATGTGATTCAAGCCTAGGTTTGTTTGACTTTAAGCTTTGCTCTTGCCATTATGGTATAGTACATTCCTCATGGAATTGTGTTTAGCCACAGATTAGGTAATGACATCTGCCCTTTCATGTTTAGAGCTCAACATTAGTCCATATAAACCCAAACTTTATAAATATTTAATGTTAAGTACTTTTAGTACTTTCCATTGGAGGAAGAAAAAAGCAATTTCCAATTGATTGACTGCATTTCCAGACATGGTTTACCAGTAGTTTCAGGCAATTTAGTTTTTTAAAAATCTCTATCCAGCAGAGATTTCCTTATATATTTTTTTACTGATAAACAGACACAATAGATACATTTTGAACTAGCCTAATGTTACTACTGCTTTCCATGATCTATGAGTAACTGGCCATTGGGGGACAAATGAGATATTCCTATGTCTCCCATTCGGTGAGAAGGCCATTGTCACCGAAGGGGACAGCCGGTGAGTTATGGACATCTCACATATTGTGTTGATTCACACCCACTCTTTAATGCTTCTGTATGCTCCATATTAAGAAGTTAGAATTCAAAACCAGAAGAATGGTGTGGACTTATTTTACTTGTAGTGATGGATTTTTCCTATACCTTTTGTCATTTGTCTACTGTGAACAATGGCACAAATTTATAAGACACATGGGTAATCTTAAGAGTTATAATCTGTAACTCCGGATTCGATGGAAATGAATGCCACTCATGATTCTAATTAGGTTCCTGACCTTATTGCATTTAGTTGGTAGTTCCAAATAAACTCACTTATATGTTTAAATGGTAATAGTAACATCACACTAATTATATTTAATAGTGAACATGTGAAACAACAATTTATCACCTGGTTTAATATTCTGCTTGACTCCTCTAGATTTTGTTTCTGTTAGGACACAGAATCTCTGTGTCCACTCTCTTGGAATAATGCTGTTTGTGTATATGTCTACAATGTTTACTTTACTATTGAACAGTATGTATGAAATGGAGACTTCACTGCTATCATCTCATTCATGGATACATCTCTTTTGATGGCAGACACACACAAAAAAAAGTAGATATAGGCAGGGGAAAGAGAGAAAAAGTAGTTAAGTTGGTGAAAAATGGCACCTGAAGGTGAGCGATGGACACCAGCCAGGTGTTCATCTTAGTTTGGAAAGTGGGGTGAGAGGATAAGCTAAAAAAACTCAAAAGAAAGGAATCTATTCATAATTAGTTAAACTTAGGGCAAGAAATAAAAGTACAGAGATAATACAGGGTGATAAAGGAAAATTTTGTAAAATTTTGTAATGAATATTTTGTAAATAAAGGTACATTTAGCTACAGTTTCCCATTTTCCCTATGTATGGCAACTTTTGGGACACACTGTAGAAGAGAAAACAATAATAATTTTAATAGTTCAAATTTATTGCACTATTGTCATTTCAATTTTAAAGAGGGGAAACTGAGACACAGAGTGGTTAAACAGCTGGCTCAAATTTACACAGTAAAGGGCAGAGCTGGAATTCCAATCCTGGCAATCTGAACCACTGTTTAAAATGGGGGATTAACAGAACACACAGAGTGTTAACTTATAGGGAAGGGAAAAAAGACCAAGTGATACCTGGGAAAAAAATAAGACTGCATTTACAAAAATTACCAATGGGCTAATTATAGTTATGTATTACTGACACAGTGCTTTGTATCGGTTAGCTCTTTTAATCCAGCTAACAATTCTGTGAGGTAGGTACTGCCAGTTCCATCTTTCTGACGAGAACACTTGATACACGACACATTCTCTGCTTGCACAGAGTTACATTTCAGTAGCTGGCTCTGGAGCAAGATAAGGAAGACAGAGGGAGATCTGGCAACAGAGTGGAGCAGGGCAAGGTAAGCAGGCTGAAAGTGAGAAATGCAGGAAGTTTCCCATTTAGGCAGAAGCTGGTTCCAGCTTTCAAATCTCTCCAACCAGCCCGCCAAAGCGTCACAAAGCCCGCCCCTCGGTGAGAAAGCCACGCCCCCCCCAGGTCCTGGCTGTTCTCGGAGTTCCCAATACGTCCCTCCTTCTTTTTGGCCCCGCCTGCCCCGCCTCGCATCATTTCCTGTGCGCTGGATGCTGATTGGTCCAGGGGTCGGAAGTGAGGGCGGGCGGTGGGGGCCGTTGCCGCAGTGACAGTGCTCCGGGAGTCCGAAGATGGCGGCGTCGCGTCGCTCTCAGCATCATCACCACCATCATCAACAACAGCTCCAGCCCGCCCCAGGGGCTTCGGCGCCGCCGCCGCCACCTCCCCCACCACTCAGCCCCGGCCTGGCCCCGGGGACCACCCCAGGCTCCCCCACGGCCGGTGGCCTGGCCCCCTTCGCCTCCCCTCGGCACGGCCTAACGCTGCCTGAGGGGGATGGCAGTCGGGATCCGCCCGACAGGCCCAGATCCCCGGACCCGGTTGACAGTACCAGCTGTTGCAATACCACCAGCACAATCTGTACCGTCGCCGCCGCTACCGTGGTCCCGGCAGTTTCTGCTTCACCTGCCACTGGGGTCGCTTCCAACCCAGCCGGCGGTGGCAGTAACAATTCACCGTCGTCCTCTTCTTCCCCGACTTCTTCCTCATCTTCCTCTCCATCCTCCCCTGGATCAAGCTTGGCGGAGAGCCCCGAGGCGGCCGGAGTTAGCACCACAGCAACATTGGGGCCTGGGGCAGCGGGACCTGGGACAGGGGTCCCAGCAGTGAGTGGTGCCCTACGGGAACTGCTGGAGGCCTGTCGCAATGGGGACGTGTCCCGGGTAAAGAGGCTGGTGGACGCGGCAAACGTAAATGCAAAGGACATGGCCGGCCGGAAGTCTTCTCCCCTGCACTTTGCTGCAGGTCAGAGACTTAAATTGTTAAGCGTTTTGGGGTTGGGGATAGGGGTCCGGGTAGGAAAAGAAAACAGGCTCTTGTGATGGAGCAAAGTGGGGGCGTGGTTATGGTTCTTTAATACCTCAGCAGAAGACTAGAGATTCCTTTCTTTTGATTGTGTCTGGGTGATGGGGGCGTGGTTGGGGAGATTGTGTGAATCCTAGGATCCTTCTTTACTTCTTTAGTGTTTGCATAGTTGTACGTATTCCAAAACTACTTACAGTTGGTGGTCTCTGGATATGGCTATACTTAAACTTCTTCAGTTCTGAGCGTGTAGGAATAAAGGTAGATTGAAGCAGCTTTAGAGTAGTTTTGTCGTTTGTGTGCTTGTTTATTTTGTTTTTCCAAGAGTATATCCATTGAGTTCAGTCCAGACCAAAAGATGTTTAATGCAACTCAACAAGTGTTTAAGGATCTATCATACAGTCTTGGTGACTTAATGAAAGACATAAATGAGGTTTTTGAAAATTTCCCTTTTTTCAAGGAGTGTACGGTCTAGTTGGGGAGACCAAAATATGCCCATATGAAACAATTGGAGAAGAATATTTGGATGCATTTTGTGATGATGGAAAATATATAGGCTTTGATGTTTTGGACACTGCTACTTGTTGTCTGACAGATAATTTACCTTGTCTCAGTTGCTTGTTTTCTCATGGGCAAAACTCATATGCTAAAATTGTTGAGCAGTATCTGGCGCAAAGTTCTCCCCGCAAAAGTGTGAGTCCCTAAACTCTGGACCACACACTTTGCATTTTTGTCTGCCTATTTTTTTTTTTTTTAAGTAAGTAGTTGATTGTTTTCTTTTAAAAACACCTAATAATATTTTTATAAAATACAGAGAAATGCAAGACAAAAGGAAAGGACTGTAATCTCACTGGCCAGGTTCCTATTACTGATATTTTAAAAATAAAGATAATAACGTTATATACATTAGAAACATTATATTAGAAATACATATATTGTATATACATTATAAAGTTCAA